GTTGAGTTCAGCCTGGCGTGGGTTCAGACTGGGGTTGAGTTCAGCCTGCCGTGGGTTCAGACTAATACAGACAAACAGTGGACCAGTTCTTCATGCTGATTTCTATGCAGCCAAGATGATACTGTCCATTCACAAGAGGATCATAGCAGCTCAAGATGGCCAAAATGTCAGCTCAGCTTTCTCCCGCAATTTCCCTCCCCAAAACACCGCCGCCACCAGCTCTTGCTTGCACTCCTAAGTGGCACTGGCTGTTTGGCCATCAGTGTCTTTCCAACAAATTAGGGGTGCATTTTGTATCCCAGGAGTGGATGAGACGCACCTGCGGAGCTATTGGCTTCTTGGCCAAGTTTTCGCTCCCTCGGGCTGCTCTTTCGCTTCTTCAAGATGCTGCCTGTTAGGATCCAGGCTGCTGTGTGGCCGGAACCACCATATTAGCAGGACTGGTCCCAGGTCCCGCTGGTGCTCTCAGACTGCCGACAGGTGCCAGCTGGGAATCCTCGGGGAGAAGCTCCAGAAGAGCAAGGTCTTCCCTGCAGAACTGGCCTCAGCCGCACAGGTCCTCCTGCGGGCTGCCCTGCCCGCATCCCGCCTGACCTTTCCTGCTCCTGCATCTCGCTGTCTCCTGCCTTGCCACCCTGCATCAGCCGCACAGGGCCAGCCCCAGCCCCCAACACTGCCGAATCCCAGAGAGGAAGCAAGGGACAGTGGGTGTGATCCCAGCATGACTAGGGTAAACGGGGCCTTGGGTGCATGCTCACCCCTGTTTCCTTCCTTCTCTGCCCATTTCCAGCATCTTCTGGGACTATGCCTTGATTGTGCCGTTCAGCCAGATCGTCTGCATTCACTGCCACCAACAGCGTAAGCCTCTTCTGGGGTGGGGTGACGTGTCCGTGGGCAGGGGCCACGCCTGGCCCTTCTGGCGAAGAGACCTGACCCGAGCTTCATTTGCTGATCTTAGTGGGTTGCTTCTGCATCACACGTGTTGGTCTTAAGAGCAAACTCACGGGGAGGGGATCGTGGTGGTGAAGGGACGTGATTCAGGGATGAAATAGAAACATAGAAACAGAGCGAGTCAGAAGGGGTCTCCTGGGCCATCTAGTCTGACCCCCTGGCTCCAGCCAGCTGCGCTCATGACATGCCCACCATGTGCATGTCCCGCCTGTCCTTGAACAGAGTCCACAAATCGGGGAGGGGGCATGTGAGCCGGAGTGGATTCATGGGAGTAAAGTGCCACATCTTTTAGCCGCATACTGTCGAATTAAGAAATTCTGGAGCAGCTTTTTTTCAGACCTTAGCTTAGCTTTCCTCCCATTCTGTGGGAGGAACCCTTTGCAGAACTCAGAGGGGACACTTCCAGCCTTTCTCAAGAGGAGATACCTGTTGTTGTTGTTTAACATTTATATACCACCCATAGCCAGAGCTCTCTGGGCAGGTCACAATATTACACTCCCCCATCTAGATTTCAACCTGCTAAGCTTCCAAGATACCTAGCGACCCTTTCCCAGAACAGAAATGTATCTTCTACATTCCAAGGCCTTATAGGATCACCTTGCATGCTGACCCAGGGAGATAATTCTTACTCTATATATTTCTCTTACTCAGATAAGACGTGATCTTTGCCAGATAATCAACCCCGTGTCATCCAAATGCATGCTTAATTTGCGGCAGGTGCAAATTTGTTAATGATTCTACACATATTTAATTTTAAATGTTAGAAGTTTCCTGGTGGAACTTCCTGTATAGACCAGTTTGTTACAGTTCATTAAAAATCTAAATGGGTGCTATTTTTTTCTTTGTTTCCCTTGTCCACCAATAGCCTTTGGTTAGCTGTAAGGGCCACAACAATGGTTCTAGTAGCCTTCAAGTAACTCCAGCGAAAGAGAACTGAAAAGCAGGACTACAGTTTACCTTGAGGTCAAGAGAAGGGAACGATGAACAAGCTGCATGTTGAACATTAGAAGGGGGTCTCAGAGAAAGCAAGAAAAAAAATCTGGGGGAACATTCCACTGACTTGGGGGTGGGCTAGATGAGAGGTTAAGCTCTCCTGTCTTTCCAAACCCTTGCCGTAGTTTTGAAGCGGAAGAATGTAGAAGAATTTTACATGCAAGAATGCAAGAGATGAATTGCAAGAGATTGGTTATTTTCTTCTCAGACCTTCGTATCACAGAATGGATCTACGGATTCTGTCCCATGGCCTCTTCCAATTATTTGATTTATTGTACTCATACAGGGACTAAGGGGTTAATAGGAGGGGCTCCCAGGGCATCTCCTGCCCAGGTACTGACCAGCCCCAGGTGCGGTTGGCTTCAGCAGCCTGACAATCCACACCGTCTCCTGGGACACCTGCAGCTACGGGGCCGCAGTGCTGCGGTGCTTGCTTTGTTGCTTTATTTTTCAAAGAGCTAATCACACGCGTGTTTTTCCCCTGCAGCAGAGCAAGGGGGGACCCTCGTGCTGGTGAGCCAAGATGGCACCCAACGCCCCCCGCTTCATTTCCCCCCCGGGGGCCACCTCCTGACCTTCCTCTCTTGCCTTGAAAATGGCCTCCTGCCCCGTGGCCAGCTGGAGCCGCCGTTGTGGTCCCAGCAGGGAAAGGTAAACAAAACCCACCCCACCCTTTGCCTTCTGCAGTGGACTCTGAGTCTACCTGTATGCCAAAGCTTTGGCACGTGGTGTTCCGCCATGCTTCGCAGCATCTCACTTTCCATCGTCAACCAGATGTTTATGGGAAGCTCCCAGCCCTTTGCTGCCACTGCCCCAGTCCCAAGCAGTCAGCCTCAGTGGTCTCCTCACATACAAGGGGGTCCCTTTTATCTAGAATTCCCTCTGTTCCGGGGGGAACCCTCTTGTGGTCATCTACACCCAAGGAGGGGAGGCATCACGCTTGAGTTGGCCTGGGGGAGACCCAGAGTTTTACAAAAGTACAGAAACAGGTCCGTGGGGACTGGAGGCTCTTGGGCACAGAATTCAAACTGTTGTGGGGAGAAATTGGGAAAATGAGGACGGGGAATGAAACTCTGATCCTGCGAATTTTGACATGATAAATGCACGTGGTTGATAGGTTTTGCTTCTTCCAGGGCAGAAAGGCCCTGCTGGATCAGACAGGCCCAAGATCTTGCATTCAGCTTCCAATAGCAGGCAATGAAATTCCGCCACCTTTTCTGCCTTCCGATGAGTTGGAAGAAAACTGGGAGGTGGGCAAGGCCTTGAGTTCTTTTGTCTGCGACTCTGGTTTCTTTCTATGGTACTGAAAAGAAATTCCTGGGTCGGACGTGTATTCAGAGATGCCCTAATTCTAAGGAGCTCCATCCCAAATACCACAATGCATCCGGCTCCAGTTTATGGCCCTTGGGACTTGAGTAGAGACGCAAGAAGTGGGTTTTTGTGCAAGCTTCAAGTTGACTCACTCCTGGAAGCCAACTCAGCTAGTCAACCTCCTTCCCTCTTGCATTGGAGCATGTCAGAGTTCTCCTTTGGGTACCAAACTCCGCACGCCGAGCGATCTTTCCCCTGCTGCCCAGCAGCTTCATTCTGTAGCACCCACCTCCAAGTTCAGCCATCGAGGATAACCTGCCACCCCACAACGCTCCCTGGCAGCTCTGGCACAATCCACATTTCTCGCCTTTTACGATCCTCCCGTGTCTTTCAGGGCAAAGTGTTCCCCAAACTTCGGAAACGGAACAGCCACAACCGGTCTGTGGAAGTGGATGAAATCCCGGTGGCTGTGGAGATGGCTGCAGATTATGTCTTCCGGATTATTTACCCAGGACATAAGCATGAGAACAGTAAGATGCTCCGGTTTTCTGAGTTATACATGTGAGGGAGAGCAGGCTGGGCAGGCAGGGACCCTCTTGCTCCTCTGCTTGCTTGGAAGGGTTATACCCCGCATCTTTATTCACTGGAGGCATGTATTTTTATTACTGCTCAGCCAAAAAGACTCCCAGGGTGTCTTCCATATAATTCAGATGGCAGCCGTGCAAGGGCTCAATATGGGAACATAAGACATGGAAACGGAGCAGGGGCCTCCTGGGCCATCTAGTCTGACCCCTGGCTCCAGCCGGCTCTGCTCATAGAATCCCCAGCACATGGCCATCCAATCTTTCCTTGAATGCCCGCACTGATGGGGCCTCCACCACCTCCCCGGGAAGCCATCCTAGGGGACCAGACCAACAGGAAGTACTTCCTGACATCCAACGTGAAACACGGTTCCTTGAGCTTTGCCCCACTGGATGCGCCCTCTCCTCCATGGCAGGGGAGAGCAGGTCATGGCTCTCCACCGTGTGGCACCCCTTCACACACCCACAGGTCGCTGTAGGATCCCCTCGGAATCTCCTCTTCTCCGGGCTGCAATGACCCAGCTCCCTCCGTCGCATCCCCCAGTCCGGCTAGCGTCCTTGTGACCCTGCGGCTTAAGGACTGATCCAAAAATTAGCATCACCTTTAACATACCATGTCACGATTTTGCAGCACACAGAGACAAACTGTTCACTTTTCAGTTGTTGATCTGTCTTCTCTTTTATATCGCAAACTTTTTTTCCTCCTGGCGCAATTTGCAAAGTAGGTAAAACATGGGATAAAAAGGGAGTGCTCTGGTGATGCTTTTTCCTTTAGGGAGAACTTGCCCACTCCAAAGCATTAAGTGAAATCAAGATGAAATATTACATTTTTTCCGGGGCAAAGTGTTTGTGGGCAGGCTCTGTATGGAGGACGGTATGCAACCTTCCCTGATTGGATGGCTGGACTGTCAGTCAACATACACCCTTTTCAACCTGGTTTGACACTGGAGAGGAATGACTTGAGTTAGGCCTCTGGAAGGAAGCACCCGCACCAAGTTGTAAATAAAACAAGTAAATAAAGTCCATGACATCCGAATCTTGCGCTGGCCCCTTTCGGGATAGTCCGCTCCCCTGACCGTTGTCTCAAACATGTCCTTTTAAGACTTGATTGTAGATCCAAGCATCTATTTTGTGTTCTTATGCTCCTCTTTCACTATTTTCTTTGAGCAGTAACTATTAACTACCACCACTTAGATGCCAGTCGGTCTGCCTCTGTCGACGATGACGAAGAGGAGGAAGACAAGCTGCATGCAATGCTGTCCATGATCTGCAATCGGAACCTCACAGATCCTAAAAGGATGAAAGGTTTTTATTCTTCTACCCACCCCACCTTATCTCCCACCGAGCCACCGCCCCACACACACGCCTGCACGCACAATCTCTCCCCCCCCCCCCTTCCTCTTCCTCTGCAACAGTGTTGGCATTACTGCAAGGTCAAGGCACCCACTGTGCCTCCTTCCACGCAGGAAGGATTTCAGGGGGACCGACTTGGAATGAGAGCTTGTTGAGAGAAAAGCAGCTTGCTTTGCTGCCTCGCAGGAAAAGCAGCTCCGAATTCTTCCTCTTGCGAGGCTCTGCAGGGCCCTCCCCAGGCCCAAAAGGGAACTGCAGCTGTATGCTCCACCCCAGGGGCTGGCAACCTGGGCGAGCTCCTCCGGATCGGCGTCCCCTTGCACGCAACACGGGCAGCCTGGCCTGTTTTCTCCATCGGAGGGATTCTCCGCTGCTCCTGAGCCAGCGTGCTGTCCAGAGTTCACCTGGGGACGTCCTCCGTGTCTGTCGCCGGCTGCAGGGCAGAGGTCTTTGGCCAGACTGCCTGAGTCCTGCTGCAGCCTCCAGGTCCCGTTCCAGTAACGGCAACAGGCAGGCACCCTGGGTTGGAAGACCCTCACCCGGCCCAGGCGTGTCGATCAAGCACGCGAGGAAGCTGCTTGTGTGTTGCCAGGTGAACTCCCAGAGCGTGGGCAGGACCAGAAGCGCACTCGATCAGGGCCGGTCTGGATCCGACCCTTGTGTCCCCTCCAGCGTCAGGGCTGAGCGGATAAAATCTGGGCACCAGAAGGTGGGAACTGCCCTACTCGTCTTGTTGCAAGAGTCAGCTTGCCCTCCTCTTCTCTGATGGCGCATCGTTTACTCAAACTCAGCCTTCCCCCACCGCCTGCCTTCCAGACACGTTTGGACTGCAGCACCCAGAATTCCCGGTCAGTGGCCCTGCTGGATGGGGATTCTGGGAGCTGTGCTGCAGCTGTCTCTGCAGGCTGCTAATGTGTGGAGCAAAGCGGTGGGCTGATGTTTTCGGCCTGTGTGGAGGGACGGTCTTCCAGGAGCGCGCGCCCGAGACTGCTGGTGGCGCTGGCCAGGAAGACCTGAGGAGCTAGGACGTCATCACAGCCAGCCGTAAACATTTTGCTGGCCCAATCTGCGTTTTAGCCGGTAGGGTGGCTTATTTGGCTCGCCACGCTGACGATCTGCATTTCTGAGGAAAAGGGAAGGACACACGTCATGTGTCTGTAAAGAAGGTACCTCTGACAAGAAGCAAAATCAGAATAAAGTTTGGGCAGAGAAGCAGAAGCTTGTAGAGCAACATTTCCATGAAGTGAACGGCAGATCTTGGGTGCCAGGAGAACCAGATCAAGAGCGAGCAAGGTGCAAATTGGCGGGGAGGCTCTTCCGTAGCGCTCCGGCGTAGCTCCGGCGTGTTTTAACACAGCCTTTGCGGCAGAACATCTCCACGGATCGTGGGTCATGTTGATTAGAAGAAGGCTTGAGCGATGCCTTGTGGATTTTCCTCCTTGGGTCCCCAGACATCTCAGGCCAGTGGCTCGGGGAAGGTTTGACTGAACGACCAGGCCTGTCAAGGTTGGCATTTTGAAGCAACAAACGAAATGCCATCTCAAAGGAGAGACTCCCCGTAAACATTGATGTGCAGAGTGGAAAACATGTGCGGCCTGGCCTGTGTCCCCTGCCGGCATAATGACAACACTGTTGTGTCCCGTTGCTCTCCCCTTTTGCTTGTGAGTTCTTTGCAACCCCTTTTGCATGTGACCGGAGATTTGGCACAACTGGACCTCCGTAAACCAAACCAAAAAATTCACCTTGAAGATGCTGTTCACTGTTAATTCTTCATTAATTCAGGTACCTTTCATCTGAATTCTTAGGGTCTGTGGGGTTCACCTTAAAAGGACATTGTTTCTTTTAAAAATATAAAATAAAAACAAGCTCTCTTCTTGTCTCTGGAGTGGGACGGGGTGGGAGGGAAATTCATGCTCCCCACCTCTTTAAGATTGGTTACCAAATGGCTGTAGAAGGTGCTGGCGTATTCAGCTCGTTCCTGAAGAATTAAGGTGAAAAGCATATTTTGTTCCCATGAACTTGTGCTTTTATGGCATTGGTTTGCTTTTATAGCATGATCTTATGCTTGATTTCAAAAATGCTACCCTCATTTGCTCGTTCCCCCTCGTACCTTGCCTGTTGACTCCTTTACGTTGCAGCCATGGCTGAATTTGTTAACCCTCCCTCCTAAAATTTTGGAAAATAAGCAAAACGCTGGCAGAGTGTATGCCCTGGAGGGGTGCTCTTCCGCTTCAAAGCCAAGCCAAAAAACTTCCCCTTCCCACTGAAATTTGAACGCTAACAAAACAAAGCAAAAAACCAAGTAAAGCCGACCCAAAGAGCCTGCATTTTGCTTGCGTGTTTTTGATACCTCCGTTTGCCTTAATGGACATGGTAGATGAGCTGAAGGCCAGCCAGTTGTAAAAGGCATCATCCAAGTTTTAAAAAAGAAAGCATTTAAGGAACCGAGGGCGGGATGTTCCCGTATTGCCACCTTTGCTCAAAGGGCCCTAAGCGGAAGATGATATTGGAATGGAGCGACGCACGGAAGCTGGGTGCGGTGCACTGTTGTACAGTATTTCTCCCTTTCCTTTTCTTTTCTTCTTTCCTGTTGTCCAAATTGCAGCCGCTCCAGCTCCGATCAGGAAGGCCTGCAAGGCTGGGCGCATCTGACAGTTTCTCCCTTTGTCTCTCACTTCTCTCCTGCCCAGACGTCGGCGACATGGCTGAGACGCAGGGCTTTGGGGCCGGCTTGCTGTCGTGGCACTTGGATCCCTGCAGCCAGGGCTCGTCCTGTCTCTCGTGCTCCACGGGAAGCTCCCCTTACGACCTCCCCAGCTGCTGCAGCTGCATTCATGACAGGTGAGACAGTCGCCCTGTACCTGCCTCTCCTTCTCGGGTCCTGGAAGGTTCCAGGCAATTCCCAGAAGAGTCCTAGCAAGGCACCAACCCGTTGCCCCTGCGTAACTTCCAAGCAGGGCATGTGCAAATAGCACCCGTGTTCCCCACCAGCTGGTTTGTGTAGGTGCCCTGGAGAGAACCTACAACCATCAGGACTAGTAGCCTTGAAATCCCTCTGTGAATTTGGCTCATCTGCATTTGCAGCCATCCAAGTTGGAAGCCTTCACAACATCTGGTCGTAGCAGGCACCATAATTTAATTGCACTGCAGGGTGAAAAAGTCCTTTTTTATCTGTCCTGAATATCCCATCTGTCAGCTCCATGAGATGATGGGGCTGGTTTCTACGATTTTGGGAGCAGGAGAAAAATGTCCCCCCATCCGCTTTCTCAGGAGTTGGATGGGAGGCTGATGGGAAGTGTGTGTGGTCCTTATTTTAATTTTCTTGTACTTAAGGCCTGTGCATCCAGCCTTCCCACCCACAAGAATACCAGCCAGCAAAATGTGCAGAATAACACCGGGAGAGGGATTCACACTATAAAAGAGGCACTGATATAAAAGTACAGACGCTCTGCTCCCTTGTTGCATTTCCGTACATCCCAAATAGATGAGACTCTGCGATGTTTACAGAGATTTAAAATCTTGGAAAAGTCCCAGTATCATGACATAATATAAAAACTATTTACGTATAAACATGTAAACAGTAACAGACAGTTCAGCAAGTGTATTGACAGCAAGAAATCCCAGACCGTGACTTTGAGATGGGTGCGTGGAGAAGCAAGCTAGAACTCAATTCTATGCATGTTTTGAAAGGGAAAAATCTGGGAGTCTCATATCTTTTCCTCTCAAAGCATGCACATTAATTGCATTAATTATCAGAAATAAGAATTTAATTATCCAGGGTTCCTGGCAGAGGGAGGCTCTTTCCCATCTATTGCTATTTCACTTTTTAAAGTCGAAGACGATCAGCTTGCAACTCTCCCAATGCTGCTGCACTCCAAATCCTGTCAACCCCCGTCAGCATAATCAGTGGTGGGGCTTGATTGGCACAACAATCTAATAGCCCTTGGGGGGCTTTAAGCTGCCTTTTCCTGTTTTTTGCTACTCATGTGCATGTGAATTTTGGATTTCATAATTGGACTTGGTTTTTAATCTGGGTTTTATTCTTGGCTGTCTTGGCAGGAAGGCGGGATGCCAGTTAAATAAATACATTTACAATTCAAGAGAAATCAGAGAAAACAATCAGATCAGGCAATTTGATTTGCCTAAGTTGGCATTTTTAAATAATGCACCGACCTATTAGAGCCAGGTGCAATTTCCATAAAGGCATTTTTAATATAATTTTTGAGGGTTTTGCTTTTTCCTAGAAAGAAAGCCTCTTCTAAGACAGTGTTTACTTTCGCATTTGTATCAGTTCCTGCACAGAAAATACTTTCTTCTTAAACTCACTGATCTATTAATTGGATGCCAAAACTTTATTCAGGTGAAATATTTTTGCCCCAACTAAACCGATTAGCCAAGTAAACATTGCAGATGATACCAGTAAGAACCAGTGCAAAGCTGTGCCTAAATGGTTTTGGACTAAGACTGGTGACACCGGGTTCCAACTTCTCTCAAAGTCTGCTTAAGGTAGTTCCTGCCCGTTGAACCATTCCTGGTGGCTAATGAATGTAGCCTCCATGTAGCCGGGCCCAAGTTCTTTTTAGAAAGGGGAGTAAAATAAGAACAAAACTGGTGCGTGTTAAAGCATCTTGGCTTTCTATTCCAATAGGATCCCTCTGAAAATGTTGTGTGAAAATATGAAGAGGCAGATCGTTTCCCGGGCTTTCTATGGATGTAAGTGCCTATTTTGGGGATGGCTTGTGGGGTGTTAAATCCAGGGCCCTTGAGATGTGTGGGACTACAGCTCCCATTCTCCCCGGCCAGGTCAGGATCACTGATCTTTACTGGGGGGGCGGGTGGGGGTCTTTCCTTTTTAAAAACTCTTGTCATCTTGCTGAAATGTCTCTTCTCACACCACCTTCCAGCTTCACACAGGAATCTTCCATGGGTCCTGGCCAGCGCTCCCATCCTGGGGCTAAAAACCGTTTGGTTGTGTTACTGTGGGGAATGCGTTAAACCCCCTCCTGCTGTGCCTGCTCTCACAGCGGCTGCTTTAATTTCTTGGTTTAAAACATCTGTATGCCACCCCGTTGTGCCACAGCACCTCTGTGGAGGAGGAGCATGGAAAGCTTATTTTATTCTAATGTATATATTTTAATTGTTATTGTTTTAATTTAGTGTGTATTTTATTCTATGCTGTGAGCCGCCCCGAGGCTTCGGCAAGGGGCGGCATAGAAATGTTTTAATTAATTAATTAATTAATTAATAAAAGCGCCTGCGTTGAAGGATCGCGTGCCTTTACGGCAGCATGCCAAGAATTGTTATCATCTGTGTCATCCACTCTGCCTCCATGCAGGGCTTGCCTATTGCCGGCATCTGTCCACCGTCCGGACGCACCTGTCAGCCCTGGTCAATCACACCATCATCCCGCCCGACAAACCCACGAGTGCCGCAGGAGGCCTGACGAAGGAGGTCTGGAGCAAATACCAGAAGGACAAGAAGGTACAGACGTGGCGGGCAAAGCTCTCGCGGATTGTTAGCTCTCCTTGTAAGGTCTTCCTGATGCGGAATCCGAGGGTAGCCCAGAAAGCTTCCCTGAACGCCAAGATCCCAATTGAGGGAGTGCCTGGCATAGTGTGAGCTTTGATCTTCCGTTCTTTAAAAAAAGAAAACGGCGGGATAGAAATGTAATAAATAAATGCACAAGAATTCAATCTAGTGACGTAATAGGGAAATGCTGCCAGTTTTACGCCATTATTATTATTATTATTATTATTAACATTTCTATGCCGCCCCTTGCCGAAACCTCGGGGCGGCTTACAACATGATAAAATACATTGAAATACAATAGTACATAAGAAATTACCATTAAATATAAAAATACAAAAAATACATTGATTTACAAATACAAAATTAAAATTATCAGTATAAAATAAAAATATAGGAGGAGAAAGAGAAGGAAGAAGAAGTTGCTTAAAAAACAGAAGTCCTCATATATTGTTGAATGCCGTTGCCTGTGATTTTATCCAAGGGCTGTTGTGAATTTTGCTGTCTGCGTAACTGCTGTTCTGTTTTTCACATCAGCGGTCCAGAGATCCTGTTTGGATATAGGACAGGATATACCTGTTTTAAATCAAGACGCATTGTCAGTTACCTGGGTGGAGTTACGGCAGGGAGGGGGTTCTCATCAGAAGGGCTTTGCTCCTTCGCTACTGAAGGGTGGGTAATGTTCGGAGGTTTCTCATTGCCTCTTGCTCTTTTTGTGTCAGAATTACAAGGAGTTGGAGCTGCTCCGTCAGGTTTACTATGGCGGGGTGCAGCACGAAATCCGGAAGGAGGTCTGGCCGTTTTTGCTGGGCCACTACAAGTTCGGCATGAGCAAGAAGGAGATGGACAGGGTGCGTTGCTGCCATGGCCAGTCCAAAGAAGCTGGCCCTTGGTCCTTTTGTTTTGAATTGGAGACTGTTCCTGGGTCTCACTCTAGAACGGAGTCCTAGCACTCTGCCGGGCTTGCTCTCAATGGCTAGGCTGCCTTTATTGCCTTCAAAAAGAGGCAGACCGGGCTTACAGAAAATGGAAAGTCTAAATGAAAAAGGTTGGGAGCCACTCATAGAAAAATTGCTTCAGGAAGATTGGGACTCCCTTCAAGAGAACGCTAGAGAGGTTTGCCGGGCGCCGACGTTATATTCTTTTCGGCGTCAAGCAAAACCCTTTTTATTTCCCCATTATTTTAATGTTTAATGGATTTTAACTGGGGTTTTAGTATATTAATGGTCGGATGTGGTGGGCTTTGTTTTAGTCTATGTATTTATTGAAAGCTGTCTGGAGACATTCTGTAGGGGACAGGACAGAAAAGCTTTTAATAAATAATAAATAAATGAGCATAAATGTTCCCCTTTACATCTGGGAATTAAATGCCCCACCATATTTGAGCTCTCTCTCTACTTTGACATATTTGCAGTTCCCAAGTCAAGATGATCTTATAGAATAGCGTGCCGTTCACATACTTCCAACTGCTTGGATCGGGGGCAGTTTCTTAAGATACCCCTGAATGAATGCTCTTGTAGCTGCTCCTTGTCAGAGCTGGATGCACCTTTTCTTCTATTGCCTGAAATGTGAACAGGGTCGTTCACCAGCGCTTGCTGTTTTGGCTGGGTTCAAACCCACATTTCAGCATTCCCCCATCCCCAACCCTTGAGCGCCAAGGGCTGTCCAAATCCGGCTGATGCCAAAAAACTAAAATACGCAAAGCACCAGAGGGGAGACTTCTGCCTGGAAGATCCTAACAGTCATCAGGAATCTTCAGGGCTTTCTCACGATTGAGCCCTGACCAGGTTTCCTTGCCGTGCCTTGTCTTGCTGAAGGTGGATGAGAAAATCACACTCCAGTATCAGAAAGTCATGGCGGAGTGGAAGGCCTGTGAGATGATAGTGAAGCTCCGTGAGAAAGAGAATCAAACGGCCACCAAGTTTTCCTCCGGCAGCAGCATCGACAGCCACGTCCAGCGACTGATCCACCGGGATTCCACCATCAGCAATGACGTAAGGCAAAGATCTAGCTGGCCGGGACCCGTGTCGTAAGGACATCAGGAGCTGATCCCGGGTTGGGTCCAAGGCTCAGCGTCTGCCAGACGTTAGTTTCCCAGAGTGGCAGCTCAGCATGGTCACTCAGTCCCCATCAGGATCAGTTTTTTGGGGTGTTAACATTATTTTTCAGTATTTCTTCAAAGGTCTTGCAAATACCTCCCTCTTTGGGGTATTTATTTGATTTATTTAAATATTTATTAAATATGAAATTAAAAATAAGTTTAAATATTTAAGCTCAGGGTACACACGTGTAGCACCCAGCACTGAGGTTTGGTCTCCTACAAAAACTGGGGCATGCTAGCGTTCCTCATTGCATAGATTTCCATTCCGGGTCCTACCTGGTTCGCAGGTGCTCTCTGTCATCCTTCAGTGGCCTTGAGTTATTTTGTGATTGCTTTTCCCCCTCCCTGCCCAGCCTGGGTGGGATTTTAGAGGTTTTATCGTGCTCTTGTGAAGTTTGGCATTAATCTGGCTCTCACAAGCCCAAGGTGAATCTATAGGCCTTCCAGCTGAAGGGTCTTACAGAGAGTTGTATAATTCTGCCCCTACAAAATGCAGCTTATCTTCCAAGTGGTGGCCAGGCCAAGACCACAGTGGTACCTCGGGGTTGGGAAGGCCCCCGGAGGTGAGGGTCTCCCCCCCAGGTCCACTCGAGAAGGATATACGGCTCTTTATGGGTCTTTAGCATCACATGACTTTCCAAACCAGGAAGATCGAGGTCTTTGGTGATGGTCTCAGAGACTGTCAGTTCTTTCCTCCGATCAGCTGCTCTAAGGAGCACAGCTGCTCTCCCTACTAGCATTACATTAATAATACTGCTGCTGGTAGTGATATTTCTTTTATTATTTCTTTATTAGACTTTCATCCTGCCCCATTAGCCATAAGCCTCCACTGGTGTTTGTACTGGTACTGGTTAGTTCATGGAAGAGTCCCTTTGAAGAGCTGGTTGCAACCTTTTGTTTGAAGCAGTTTGCTCAGTTTTCTGCCCCTCACAAGCCACCAAAACGAGCCGTCTTCTGCCCCTAACGAGCTGCCAAACCCCAGGCAACTGCGCTGACAGCCACCAACCCTTGTCTCTCCCTCATGAACCCTTTTGAGGTTTCACTGGGGTTCTTGGCCCTCTCCGCCCAGTCGCACTGGCTGGCCTCCCTTGTCCCCACAGACCCCCCCCCCCTTGTTGCTGCAAGCATGTGTGGTCCTTTACCATCTCCTCTCTCCCCCTGCGTGGCAAACCTGCTGCCCTGCAGGTGTTTATATCCGTAGATGAAATGGACCCCCTGGACCAGGACCAGAAGATGCAGGAAGACTCGCCGTTGACCGGGGTTTGCATCGACGCTCCCACGGTGGTGGTGGCGGCGGAGCAGCAGCAATCAGTGGAGTTCGACTCCCCTGATTCAGGGTTCCCTTCCTCCCGGAATTACTCCGTCACGTCGGGGATCCTTTCCAGCATCGATGATGGTCAGAGTGTCTGCTTCGAGGATGGGGCGGAGGAGGAAGCTGGCGCCGATCCGGGGCACACCCCACAAGCCAAGGGCTTGGAATCGTTGGGCTCAGGACCTGTGGAACTGCCATGTTCTCAGATGGACTGTAAAGCATCCACGGAGGAAAGTCTTTCCGTGTGTTCCGCAGCTTATACGGTAGGTTATTCCTAAGGACCACTGTGGGGTAGTTGAGGAGAGAGAGAGCGCGCACGTTTAACTGCCTCCTTCCCCGCCTGAATGTTGCATTCATCCTTGGAAGTTCTTCTCCAGAGTATCCCACTGCCTGGGCAGCAGGGCCTTTTTGGTGGTGGGTCCATTTCTAGAATTTAGTCCTTACGGCTTTGTTCTGCTGAGTTATGACTGCAGTCCGTTTGCCTGTGTCGTCTTGGTTTTTCCCTCTTGCTGGGCTGCTCTGGTCATTTTGCTGAGGGTCACCTTAGAAACATCTTAAATAAAACGATTGGCACAAAATCTATTTTATCCCCAAAATTGCTTTGCCACGTTTCCTACAGGCTTCGAGGTGGCTTACCGACTATCAGTATCTAAAAACAAATCTGCAGATCCTACACGTGCCCGTCCTATGTGTGTGTGTAGGGTGCAAACCTGTGTGTGTTTTGATGGGAATGCCGGCTGAACCAGGCCGAGATTTATCAGGCGTGTTTCCTTTCAATGTGTACAAAGCTGCACCTTTAACACAATAATCTGTATTTTTAAGTGACATTGGCAAGCCGGTAAGAACGCATTAAAAATTAATAGCCAAAAAGCCCCCAGATGAGGCAGACTTTTTAATTTGTTGTCTAAAAAATAGTAATGGGCTGAGATTAAGGTCTCAAAGCGCAAGCAAGCCGTCCTGGATGCAAGTCTGTGTCAGGGCCCCATAGATCCTTCCTTGAGTTCTATACTGAAAGAAATGTGGGGTGTAAATAACCTAATGAACAGGTTGGCACCAGCCAGGTATCCCTGAGGATTCAGGGGAGTATCTTCCACAAGTAGGGCCACCAGAGAAGAGCCTGCAGGAGGCAGGGGGTAACTGGGCCTCTCTTCCCCTCTACCCAGCAGCAAAAGAACTCTCTGCATGCACAGAAACATACTCTTGTCAACTGGGTTTTCTGAACGAAATGCAGGGACAGCACTGTCCCCATGAAGCCATAACCTTTCAAAGGCCCCCATCCAAACCTATAATTCTGCTGTATGCCAATTTATATGTTTGACCGGAATGAAAGTTTCTTTTTACTTTTTGTCTCTTTCTTCTGTCATCACTGGAACTGTAGATTTTAGCCTGGGAGCTCCTTGGAGCAGGGACCCAGGACATAACAATAACACAGTATTCTATTGCTTATGCTAATCTGTAAAGTCCTTTGTATATGGCGCTGTACAATCCTAATAAAATTGTCCATATGCTGAACATAATTGATTATACCTTTATCCTACATAAAATAATGCACCTACATAAAATGCATACATTTATCCTGCATAAAATACATACATTGTGCTTCCCCTTCCCTTCCATCTGCACAACAGCTCTGCAAAGTAGGCTAGGCTAAGAGTTGAGTGGCAGTTTCAAGTGTGATATACACATGTGTGTACGCACACCCCTTCCTGTGGCCTATTTCTACAAATCAGAATCAGCCATGCCATGAACTGAGTAGATGGAAATCCTCAGGTTTCCCTTTTGAAGGAAGCATTAAGATACTAGTCCACAAGAGACCTTGATGGGCATTTGCCAAAACTTTTGCCTGTTCTTTCCATTGCGTAGCGACATCGCCCATCCCATTTACAGGCAGAAATTGGTTCTCCAAAAGCCCACATGCTTTCTGCCCTCTTATCAGAGAAAGCAGCTTGGATCTGTTTTGTCCAGCCCGACGTTTCTGACCTCTATTTGTTATCTTCTAGATAGAAATGTTGGATACCGTTGCCTTAAACCTACATAGAATTGATAAAGACGTACAGAGGTGTGATCGGAATTACTGGTATTTCACCACAGAGAACCTGGAAAAATTACGGAATGTCATGTGCAGGTAAGTTTATCCAAAAGGCTGCTGGGTTTAAAGGTCGGGGCACAAAGCTTGAAGCATGGCAGATGTTGGTGGGAAGAGATTCCCAGAGAATGTCAACTGTGTAGCTTCCTGGAGGGCTGAGCATCTTCCCTTTTAACAGCACAGGAATATTACCCTAAATATTCTAAGGGTGCAGTCTTTAAAACTGAGCTCAGGGGCTTCCAAGACTCCTGGGCCCTGGCAGACAGAAATCTGGAGGCCAGAAAGGGAGGAAGGAGACTGCGATGGCTCATTCCTCTTTCTCTGGGCTCCCGTGTTTTAGCTAGAGTGGCTTTTAAACCTGTCTGGCAAAGGTGCGTTGGAGGACGTCAGGCTGGGAGCTGGGGGGGGGGGGGCTCCAAGCCCTCCTATTCCGGCCTGTCTCGTCTCCTTCCCTCTGCACTTGCCAGCACGTTCCCTCCCCCCTTTTCCGCAGTGACTTTCCCACCTCGGAGAGCAGGTTGCTTCCACCCCAGATGCACAAGGCTGGACTTTCTTCTGAGGTCGGAGCACTCTGACTTTGGAAGGGATTTCAGGAGCCATCCCTCGGTCCCCAGGATGCTGGGATCCCAGGATACTGGCCCAGAGAGCAGAGGACCGCTCCCCAAAATGCGTTTTTGCTACCCTTGAATCGGCGCCCTTTCTCTCGAGCGATCCTTGGCAGAAGAAAGGAACATCTTGAGGGCACCATTTAAAAAAGGGGAAGCTGAGTAAGGAAGCTAAGAATACACCCTGTGGAGAATAGTGCTACTATTTGCTTTGGCCCAAATAAAATTCCTGGTCTCCCTCTATGGCTGTTCACAAGGGCCCTGGCTCCTTTTAATGAGAAGCAACTCACCGAAGAGATGTTCCTTGTACGTGGCCCATTTCCCCCCACCCCTTGTGCTGCAGTTACGTTTGGGAACATCTGGATGTTGGCTACATCCAAGGCATGTGCGATCTCCTGGCTCCACTTATGGTTGTTCTCGACACAGGTAGGAAACCCCTTGTGTTTTTCTTGTGTGTGTGTGTGCTGGATCTTGTTGATGGCATGGAAAGGAATGTAGGTCTTGCTTCTCCAAGCACCTTAAATAGCCCAGATGGCACCATGCACACCAAAGGCCCCAAGAGAGCCCTCTATCCGTGGAAAGATGAGCTGGTGTGGACAGGCGAGGTGGACGTGGAGGGAAAAATACCAGAACAGGGTGAATGGAGGATGGCATGGAATGAGAAGCGGGGAGAGGGTGGAGCTGGAAAATGCAGTCTTCATTAGGAAAGGAAGAAAGGTCACGGGGAAAGGGATTTAAAATAAATCTGCCAATATTGCAATGCCGCTCTCCAAATGCACCACTCCATTTCCTGCCCTATCATACGGCAAGTGTTTCTTCACTGCCACAATTTCTTCTACAAAAAAGGGGCATCACGTCCCCCTGTAATTTTCCAGTCTTTCTCAGCCATCGCTAATTTTCTTTATACTCTGCTCGTGTTTTTGTACATGTGAATGTCACCTTGTGTTTGCTGAATGTCGATCTATCCACTGCAAACCTCAAATGCTCTTTTATCATGGACTCAGACCCCTGGATCGCTGCGGGGCTTAATTTTGGGTCATCCTGTTTATTGGTTGCAAGGTAGATCGGTACACGATTTTGTTCTAATGTCTGGTTCTCGGCGTAGACTCATCTCTGTCCTGAATCGCTTTCAGATGAGTTGGCCTACAGCTGTTTCACCCAGCTAATGAAGAGAATGAGTCAGAATTTCCCCAATGGAGGGGCCATGGACATCCATTTTGCAAACATGAGGTCCCTTATCCAGGTGTGTCTTTGTATCTGGAGGTTTTAGGATGCCATTCTAGGGGTGTTTAGATCAAGAAAAGGCCTGACTATGCAGAAGATGGTGCCTGGAGCTGCGTGTTTTGCCTTTCTGAGCCCCAAGCACTGTTTGAACTGGGACTTAAGAGTTCAGGATCCTGGTCCACATGGAGGGCCATGACGCTCCCTGTTTAACTTTGGGCTCTCAGGCAAAGTTACTTCCCAGAGCTGTTGCAAGGATAAAAGGGAGACAAGCCCTTTTGGAGCCACCATGGCTTCCGTGCAAGAGGAAGAAAGGCAGGATAAAGGAAGACAACTCCCTACAAGCGTAGGAAAACAAAATTCAAATACCGTAAGGGAAAATCCCAGAGAAAACACCATTACCCTATGCCGATGACAATTCACGCAGTCAGCAAACTGCTCCAAAGAACCCGTTAGGGCAGTAGCAAAGCCTCTTCCAGCCAAAATAAGGGGTTTTGCTTGGGGAAGCTCTTGCAGGTGGTACCGCAGCAATGGGCTCCCTTAAGGAAAACAGGAGCAAGACCCCGAATAAAGTTGTTCCCGTTGGGCAGCTGGCATCAGGCGACTTCTGTTCTGAAAAACCCAGTGCAAAAGCGAGGGAACTACCAATGGAGGATGGTTTGAGGAGAAGGCATGGGGTGGAGAAGAGGGAGCAACCACCAGGAGAACTTCTGCGACCCCAAGAGGCTGATGGTGGGGGAGGTCGCCATGAGCCCCTGGCCCTTGGCGGGTGGGGAGAAAGACAGCCCAAGACTGGACTTGCCTCACGGGAAGGGCAGAGGTACCAACTGTGTTGCCGGTGCCGTTCACACCCAACATTGGGTTGATGGGTGCGTCTTCACAGTTCACCGGAAGGCGGTCTGGTCTTTCTGCCTCTGCCCACGGGGAAGCCCTTACCTCCTGTACTCAGCCGTCTCTCCCAGGTGGGGTGTCAAGACTCCCTGAAAACTGGTCTGGCATCACCTTGGCTGGAGTGCTGGTCCACTAGCAAAGTCATTAAGGGCACAGCTGCTGTGAAGAAAGGCAGGGCTCAGGCCCAATGGTCCTCTGCTTGGCTTTCAGGGCAACTGCTCCTCTTTCCGTTCTTCATAGTGTGCATTTTCCCCCTTCTAATTGGACAGATTCTGGATTCTGAGCTCTTTGAACTGATGCACCAAAACGGCGATTACACCCATTTCTATTTCTGCTACCGCTGGTTTCTTCTCGATTTTAAGAGAGGTAAGATTCACGAGCCTAGTCAACCTGTAGCATCTCAAACTGGAAAGGGACCGCAGAGATGTGGTTTGTCTCCTCCTGACAGGTGGCCTCCGATTAAATAGCTTCAGCAAAAGAGAACCAACCCCTTCCTGGAGCCATCTGCTCCTCTCTTGAATAGCTTGTAACCCTACGTTAGTGGTGGCGAAGAGCAGCCACGCAGAGCCCTCTCTGTCGGCACGCAAGCCCAGTCGCCCCAGCATCACCCCAGGAGCCGAGCATTGGATAGCAGCCCACACAGGGGACATGCGCATGCTCGGAAAGGAGTACCGGTCCAGGCGATGACGTTACAAGCCGCGATTCATTAGCCACAATTTGTCCGAGCTTTCACATGGCCGGTCAGTGCGCTGCCAAAGATATACATCTATTTGCTTGGACTGGCTGTGAGGTGTTTTTTTAAACTAGAACCTCAGTTTTCAGGTTTTATTGCAGTGTTGGCACTTTGCAATAAATAAGTGGGTTTTGGATTGCAGTTTGGGCACTTGGTCTCTCAAAGGTTCACCATCACTGCCTTAGATGTATCTCCTGCCATTTTGCCAAAATCGGTTTCCTCCATGGGTTCTAGTCCTGTCACCTGGAACACCTTTTCCCAAAAGCCATTGCCTAGTTAAGTCTTTGCAGCTCAAAGTGACTTGGAGAAGCTGATAAATTAGGGAAGAAATCCAACAGGTGCCTATGGATAGTCCAAAGTCATTCTTCCTGAGTCCAATGGGACTTATTCCCTCGTTAAAGCATAAGGGGCTGCAAATTATGTTCTTTTGATTCTTTTAAAATCGTGCAAGATGCAATCGGCCATCATTTTGGAAATGGGAAAGCAAATTCGATGACAATAGGAGTTTTAGTCGTGCATTAATTGCTTTTTTCCCTCTTGCAAATGCAATGACTCCTTATGAAGAAAAAAAAATCCACACACATTTTCCTTTTAGCGTTTCCGCGTGCTACAGTGGCAAATGAATCTTGGAGAAGGCCAGAGGTTTTATCACGATGCCCAGCGGTTTTTAATTTTACTTCCCTGCCCAATTAATCCGGAACACATTTTTAATTGATGAAAACTTGCAGAATGGGTGCAATCAAATAACAAGAATAATTATCTCCAAATGACTAAAGCGTTAACGTCTACTTGAATGACACTGAAACCTACCATGGCTATTTACCTGTGAAAGGGCATTGTACTGTGCGAACCGTGTCACGATAGCAGTACAGAAACAAGACAAAAATGACAATATGTTAAAAAAACATTAAAAACTTCACCACAAAATAACAATAAAACAGGGTGGTAAGAGAATCCTTTACAGGTGAGGTCAAACCTGTGCAAACAGGTATGTCTTCAAGGGGAATTTAAAGCTTGGCTGTGCTTTTGCCTCTTAACCATTTGTAGGAGAGTATTCCAAAAAGGGTTCACCACGGCAAAGACCAACTCACAACTGTTGTTGGCCGAGGCCTCTTCGGAAGATCTCAGGGGTTACCTGTAGGGCGAAGCGGGCTTCCCGATTCAGAAACATTTTCAGCATCATGTTTGCAGAGGCAAACTAATTTGCAGCGCTTTCTTGACAATGCGGTTCATTGTCAAGTCAGAAAACATAGAAACAGAGCGAGTCAGGAGGGCTCCCCAGGCCATCTAGTCTGACCTCCAGCACCAGCCAGCTCTGCTCACGGCATGCCCACATGCGCATGACTCGCCTGTCCTTGAACACCCTCACCGATGGGGCCTTAACCACCTCCCAGGGAAACCCATTCCACACCCTCAGCAGCCGTGAAGTTTTGAAGCAAAACTTTTGGGGATGACACTTTGGGGTATCCTTTACGACAAGCGTGGCAGAACTGACGTTGAAACAAACACGGCTTGGGAAGGGGGGGGGGGGAATTATATAGCTTTATTAGCTCCAGCGGTGGGTGGGGGATGTCCTCAAGGAAACTCCTGCCCGTGGCGCACTTGAGTAATCGGATGCTTTTCTTGTAATGTTTATTCCTTCCCTTCAGAATTGTTGTACGAGGATGTATTTACGGTGTGGGAAGTAACTTGGGCAGCAAAGCACGTCTCCTCAGAACATTTTGTCCTTTTCATTGCCTTAGCACTAGTGGAGACCTACCGAGAGATTATCCGCGATAACAACATGGACTTCACTGATATCATCAAGTTTTTTAACGGTAAGGCAGGCCCCAGCGATGCTTCCAGGGGCTTTAAACATGGCCCCTGTTGTTTGCAGTTGAAAAACCTTTGCTTGCTGGCTGGCTTTTAAAGCGGAGACCAGGTTTTAGTGCTCAGAGTACACTTTGGCAACAGAGGGCTGGTTTTGTGCTCCGTTTCCCATAGGACGGAGCACTATAGAGTCTCATTTCCCTTGAGAGATCCATCCCCATGCAAAAAAGCAACACCCCAGGAAATGATCGCCATCAGGAAAGGATGGTAGCCCTTTGAGACAGAATGTTTTGTGCTTTTATTTATACGGAAGCCAGAACTAGACGCGTCGACTACGTCGGGCAGAATGCATTGCACCGGACGCTAAGAAAATGTGGTGTAAAGCCGAGCGGGGACTCTCCCAGCCCCTCCGCTGCTGGTGTGGGGCGACTGACTCTCTCTCTCTCTCTCTCTCTCTCTCTCTCTCTCTCTCTCACACACACACACACACACACACACACACACACACACACACACACACACACACACACAGAGTCTCCCCAATCCTTAATGCACTTCCCTGGGCAACAGAACGGTGCTTTCTTGGGCTCCCTGGAAGAAAAGCCATCTGTGCATGGAGCAAAGTGTCCCTGAAGACATCACAGGGCTCTGTGGCGACCAGGGAGAATAAGGAGAGCCCCCCAAACTTTGGTTGCTGTTTACTGTTTGTTCCTCTGCTCACCCTGGTGGGCAGGTGTAATTGGTGACTTGCGACGGGGACTTGTTGGACCCGATGGGCTTCTTGGCCCTTTCCAACTCTACAATCCTGTGATTCTGCAGAGGAGGGGAAGAGCCTCTACTTTGTCGGCTTGCTTGGCAGGGCCCAGTTCCTTGGCCTTTCCCTACAGATCTCGAGCGAGGCTGGGAGATCGCTCAGCTCAACAGTCTAGGCTATGTTACCCACTGCCAGTCCCTGTGTACAAACACCGCGTGCGTCGCAGTGCTGGAGGCCGAGTGCCGCTTCATTCACTGGCTAAGTTCAGCTTTCACTTAAGTTTTCTTTTCAAGTTTCTAGTCCTTATTGTGGGGGGGAAGATCTGCTACAACAGAGGCAGGGAACGCTTGTTGAATCTTAGAAGGCAAAGGGGGAAGGTCTGAATAGTTCCAGGGGTTGGATGGGAGAGTCGATGCCCTACAAAACTCCGCTGTTCCCATTAACTGATGATATTTTTCTGGGTGAAAATATTCAATTTTTTAAAAGTTTAAGCACCGCGTACAAAGCCCCACAGGTGGGTCCCTGCCGGATGGAATGGTCTTTTCTCCTCAGTGCAGTTGTGGTTGTCTTGTTTGTAGAGATGGCTGAACATCACAACGCTCAGGAGATTTTGAAGATCGCAAGGGATCTGGTCTGCAAGGTTCAAACGCTGATTGAGAACAAGTGAGCGTGCAGCGGCGAGGGACGGATGCGCACGGGTGCCGCTGCCGACACCTTTCTCGAGCCTTCGGGGGGGGGGGGGGGGGGGGGTCACTCAAGCCACTGTTTGGATTGCCTCTTCTATGGAATGCGGAAAATATTCGAGAGTTTTAATATTCTAAACACACAACTAAAGACAAGGGTTTTCTACCTGGCGCCGTTCGAGTATCCATGTGTGGGAGCAAGCGCCTTCTGGAGTCTGCTTTCCGGGGCCAGGAATAATCCTCGCTTGTTTTCGTTGGCCGTCTCGCCCAGCGGCCTCCCGGCACTGGCGTGGTCAGCAGTGCGTGTCCCCGGTTCCCCTTCCCCTCCGCTGCCATTTGCACGCTCGAGTCCGTCTTTGCACCGTGTCTTCTCTGCCCGAGGCCCTAGCCAGGTACGCTTAGTCTTCTGCCTGCAGCGGACGAACAGACTTTCACGTGCAAAGGGACTCAGCTGGTTGCCATCTCCGGTGCGGGACGAGCTGGGGGTTTCCTGCGAGAAACAAGCATGCTGCCTCCTATTCTTCCCGGCGTTTGTGCGTGGGAGGCAGAGACCCCCCCCCCGCCCCGCACAAGAGGTCACAGGGAAACAGTTGGCTCAACTACATGTCAAAACGCACCTGATCCTTTTCTTACCAGCAGTATTCTGTCCATCCTCTTTTTGTGAAGGGTTTGGTGAGCCACGCCGAGGCCACAGGGAAAAAAAGCAAGGAGGGAGAGGGTGGAGAGAGCCACACACCTTTCAACACAACACTGAGGGCTAGAACCTTGATTTAGAAAAACGGAGGAGTCTCAAGGGCACAGAATTCCATGAATGCATGGTGTATTTCAATACTACCAGGATTATGGAAGACTCCTTCCCTACGGCTGGTCTGAGGACCACTCACCCTGTAGGTCCATGCGGAGTTTCATGTCCAGTTTGCAGAATCTCACAACTTACCTTACTGGAGGTAGAGTTTTTCCAGGACATGGACCTTTTTGGTAACTTCAGCATGCCCGCTGACAGGGAACCCTGCCTGTTTCTTTTTGTGTGTTTGTGCCAAGTAAGTGTCTGACCCTTGCATGGTTCCACAGGGAAGTCTCACAGCAAAAGAACGCGCTTTCCCGTGTGTGTGTGTGTGTATGTGTATCTGCATTCGACGGAAAGGTGACCTCTTAACCAAGCAAAACAAAAAGATGTTTTAAAACTGAAACACTGCACTATGTTTTGGGGGAATGTATTATACAGCACCTTTACTATGTAAAAAACAAAACAAAACCACCCAACCAAACAAAATTTAACTGTGCAAACTTTGTTGTACATGTTTATTATACTGTTCTGTACAATGGTATTTTATGAATCTTGTGCATTGCCTTATTTATTTTTGTCAGGACCAGAATATTTTCGTTATTGCTGAAGAGTTTATCTTTTAAGTGCAACCTATAAATTAAAAAATACATATTGGCAAAGCTTTTTCGAACGGGTCCACGGAGCTCTTTGTCTCACAGCTGTTTCAAAACCAAGCATCCACCCCCCCCCCCCAAACCATCAGTGCCTGAGCTGGGCAGAAAGACAGCCAGATGCTGGAGGGCACCAGGCTTGGAGAAGGTGGTCCAGCCCTGGTCCACACCAGACTTACCCATCCCAAGCAGGCGCCAGCATATAAACCTTGCTCCACTAAGTGCTCCTCGGGTAGCAGGGCCTTCTTGTGTGTGGCCCCTTGGCGCCACCACAAGCTCTTCTTTAATGGAATTTTATCCATCCAGCCATCCATCAAAAGCTTTTCTTACCCATCCACTACAAACGTCTCAGGACAGCTTACAAAACATAACTGGAATAAAACAAGAACACAACACCCTTGGACTAGGGTCAAAGTCAGCCATATCCCTCCTCTTGCTTCTGCGGACCTCCCTCTCGTCTTGCCAGCTCTTGCAAGCGAGCCCCCGGGAGGGGCTCCATGAAGGCTGTACAACCTTCTCCGGTGCCAGATGCAACGACACAAACACTGCACGGGAGAGCGATCGTATTTGTGGGGTTTGCCTCCTGGCAGGCACTCCACAAACCGGCCATGCCGGCCAGCCCTTGCATGAGGGGCTACGACTGGATTCCTGGCCCTGCAAGGATTTCCCCATCTCTCCAAGTTGGGCTGCCCACCATTCGCTTGTGGGGACAGGAGGGTGGAAAAAGGAAATTACTGTCTGAAAGACCCCTGGCAGCCCCCCAGGAGGCAGCGTGGAATGAGTGGGGTTCCCCTCACAACCTGGTCACCCAGTCATCTCTGAGCTAAAACGCTGCCTTTGATCCAGCTGGAACCCTTCTCCCCATATAAGGACTTAGCACCGGGACTCCAGCCCATCTGGAAGGCCTGATGACTTGCTCTCACCAGGAGAAGCTGGTAGGTAAATAGGCATTCCTCACTCTTGGCAGCCAACGCAGGTGAAGAGTTAGAACTGGCGCCAGAGAGGCAAGAGGCAGCGCAACGACACATCAAGGTGCGCCAAAAGTACTCAACTCCCCAACCAAGCGGTCCTCTCCGGTCCACCTTACGCTAAAGCAACGTGTTCAGCAGCTTCTTGCAGAACTTCTGCTTGGAAAAAAAGATTGCAGGTGGAGAGAGGGACAAAGGACCCCTCTGACTTGTACGGATGGCGCCTTGAACCCTCTGTGCACCGTCACAGTTCGACAATTTGGCTGCTCTTGCGATGCAACTGGAAATCCCCAATGCCAATTGCTTGTCCTGCAATTCGAGGCCTGGCCACGAGGGGGCGAAATCCCCCTATTGCTTAAGCAGAAGCCAATTGTACTGGGTTCTCCTGCAAAGGTCCCACCAGCGGTGCCCTTGCCCAGAATATGCCCCCGCCCCCAGCTTTTCCATTTCCCCCAGTCACTAACTGGCCTCCTGTGACCCCTAAACTGACTCTCTGGGCTCTTTTAAGACTCCTCAACACACCAGAAGCTCTTTTCCTTTCCCCAAGACTGTGTGCACCTGCGGACCTCCAAGTCCCACGGAACCTGCTGCTATTTCTGCCTCTTGCAGCTGGGGGGCATTTTGGCCACCTAAATATCTTCCCACCCTCTCAAACAGGGGGCATGATTGCCCCATTTCTGTGGGGCAATGAGAAAGCCCCTCTTGTCCGCCCACCCTTCTTTCCTCCTCTAGCCAAGACCCCATTCGCGGAGAGGTTCAAGGCTAGGAGAGGTGTTCTGTCTGCTCTTGCGGAACTGGAAAGCGACTTTAGCGTAGGTCAAGAGGAGGCTGGGGAGGGGAGAAGCGTGGGGCTGGGGGCTGCACCGTGTCTCCATGCCACCCCCCCCCTCCCCCTGGCTTCTTTCCCTCCCTTTCTGCAGCACTTCACCTCCTCAGATGCAACTATAAATACTTTTCCTCATACACAATTTGAGCAAGGAAAGAACGGGCAGATGGGGGGGCCGGACCCTGGAACAGGGCGCGAGTGCCCGGCGAGCTGATGCCTTGAACGCAAGCGCTTTGCAATGCAAACTCCACTTCCCAGTTTTTCTACTCTGCCACTCGGACTGCAACCTTGTGGGTTGCTTTGCACCAAAGCTGTGAAATTACCTGAGTGGGCCTGCTGTGTTCTCCGGATCCCCTTCCGAAGCGCCTGCAATTGGTCTTCTAAAACTATGGATCGCCTCCATGGCTGGTTTGGTTTCCACGCGTCTCTGGTTGCCCGGACCGGGATCACCACTTTACCACGGCTGGCAAGCAAGCGTCTCGACTTCCGTCCACACTACCGCAGCTCCCTAGAAGGGCTCCCTTTACTCCCACCAGCTCGGCCAGACGTCTCTCACCTCGTTTCCTTTCGGAGACCAAAGGCTGTGCAAAAATGCAGAGGGAGGAGGGGGAAATCGGCAAAACTGCTCTCATTTAATAAAAAATCCTGCGAGGACTGGAGTGGCTGGAAAGGGAAGGGGCAACCCGTCTCAGGGCTGCAGTGGATGAGTTAGGAGGTGACCAGGAAGACTATTTAATTTAATTTAATTTAATTTAATTTTTTCTATTTATATCCTGCCTTTTTCCTACAAAGGGCTCAAGGCAGCTTTCATCTCCTCCTCCATCTTATCCCCACAACAACAACCCTGTGAGGTAGGTTGGGCTGAGAGTCTGTGACTGGCCCAAAGTCACCCAGTGGGCTCCATGGAAAGGTTGGGGATTCTGTTCATGGAGATGGTGGCATCACAGACTCATGGGGCTGGAAGGGGCCAGAGGGTCCAGCCCCCGCTCAGTGCAGGATGCCCAGTTAAAGCATCCATCTCCTTTTTTTTTTTTTAAATAAGTTTCATTTGAAATTATAATCCTAAAAAAACCCAAAACAAAAAAACTACAAACAACCTCCATCATCAAAAACATCGAGCCCGCTGGGTCGGCTCCCACACCCTTCTTTTTCCATTTATGGTAACTTTAAAAACATATTTAAATCTATGCGAAATCCCGTTTCTCTAGCCAATAGTAAAAACAAATCCCAAGTCTGATAGAAGTAAACCCTCCCTCTCCGAGGGCTGCCCAGTTGCATCTTCAATGCCTCCAGGGCGGAAGAGCCCTCCACCTCCCCAGGTCTTTGGTCCCATTGTCCTCCTGCTCCAGCAGGTCTGGAGGTGCTCTCTGATTCCCAGCCGGAACCTGACTTGGTGCAGCTTGAACATCATTTCGTGTTACCGGCTGTGACAGCAAGACTAAGAAGCGTGCAAACCACACTGTTTGCATGTCCACAAGTGCGGAAAAATGTGTGCGTGGTGGAAACCATGCAGTGTTGTCGTGTCATGGGACCCGATCTGTTTTTTTACCATGTCTGGTCTAAGAGATACCAAGAGCAGATGAAATGAACGGCCGTCGGTTTTGGCTGCTGTATTTTATCTTTGGAGGGGGTGACTTGAATGTGAGCAATGACTCCTCTTCAAGTTAAGAGGTTTGGGACCCTCCCTAATGCGGATTCCTGCAAATTATACCATTCCAGCTGATATTTAGGAATTATTTCACATGAAACCCAATGCCGACAAGGAAAACCCCAGGAACAAACGGAATCTCATCCTACCTGTCAAACACTCCTCCATGTTTTCTTTGCCTGCCCACTCTATAAAAAGAGAAAGAAGAGACCTTCCTTAGATACTCACAAGCTTTGCACCCAACCCCAAACATTTATCATGCAGTCACTCACACAGGACACAAATAAAATAAAAAGCTCCTCGGGATGCAAGCCAGGGCAAAAGGCAATGTTTAAACAACCTACCAAGATCTTTCAAACACGTACGTTCTGATAATCTTGCTGAGACAAAGCGCTGCAGCGAGGAGCCTTCTGTCGCCTAAAAGATAAACAGGGTTATTGTGACGAAACATGTGTTGCGCGTGCAGAATTGAACAGCTGTAGCTAGCAGAGTGTGGGTGTTTAGGTGTACATACCGAGAAGAGCGCTATACACGGGGTGATCCAACAGACAATGCCATCCAAGGTCATTTCGAAGCAACACGGCGACTGGTGTGGTCGGGAATCAGGCACTGAGACACTTTCTGCATGGTTCAGTGTGCGAAAAAGTTGCCGTTAGGGTGTGGGGAAACCACCCGCCAACAGTGCAAGCCTAGGCAGAGCCATTCTGTACTGCATCTCCCTCTGAAAGTGCTTCCCATCACGTGATTCTGTTGCCTAATAAGCAACACTTCCCACCGCGGCAAGCCAGCTGCCCCCTGTAAGCCTCACCTCTTGCTCCAAGCACATGACCTTGGCCACAACTACAATTCTAAGTGATAAAACCACACACTCTCAAGCAGCAAAGCTGCACCGCTGTCATGGAAAAAGGCTGAGAGGGCCACCTTTCTCCCTGTTTCTCTCGTCCCAACTCGGGATCAACTACGTTTTCTACGCAAGGAGCCAGACACAAAGAAAGAGGCAGCCTATTTCTTCACAGTCATCCTGTTCAGCCCCGAGATGCCCACCAAAGTCCAGCTCTTCTGCCACAGTGGTACCACTGCTTCCCTGCCAAGCTCCACCAGGATCACCGTATCCTTTCCAGATCTTCCGAACTCCGCGTACCCCCCAGAGAGCCTTTCCTTGCTTTCCACCTTTCAGCTTTGCAAATACACCAAAGGAGTGCAAGGAAACACGGATCTGCTCCCTCGGAAAAAGAGATCGCATACACTCAACAAGTGCAAGATCACAGCGTATCTTCTGCTCCTTTCAAGCGTACATCTGCGCGAAGCACGGAGAATATTTCCTTTCCATGTAGGTTATAGATGCAAAGATCCAGCAACCAGATTATCTTATGCTCGAAAGACACACAAACTCCGGTGCTTCAGGTCCCGGGAAAATACGTCCGTACAAATCATAACAGATCTTTGTTATTTCAAGCAGAAAAGGGACGCGAGTGACCCTAAGAACAAACCAGAACCATTTATACCGTATTAGGAATTACAACACCACCACCAAAATGCGGTTGTGTGCATTTTTTTTTTAACCTTTTATTAGAGAGGGTTTTCTCAAAATGCCATATTAACAAGTCACAGTGGTTATAGATGGTTTACTGAAATGCAAATATACTGAAAGGAAAAGGCCGCAACATGTTTGTGTTTTAAATATGGTTTTACCCTGGTCCACCAAACCATTTGTCTTTTGAAGATGCTTATTTGAAAAGGAGGTTCCGTCATCTCTCGTCAAAAGGAAAAGAATTTGTGTTAATGTTGTGTCTAATATTCCTGCAAAAAGAGTCAGCCCTCATCAACAGCTTTCATTGATAACCATATTTATATATATATGTAGCTACAGGAAGGTAGATATATATATAAATATTTTTAATATATATATATTTCTATGATTTCTTCTTTTTTCCTTAATCTATGCAAAGTCTCCATAAAGAGATCAGCCATTTAAAAAATTCTGACAAGGAAGCAACACATTTTTAAAAAAAGAGGGGGCAGCGGTGGCAAAAAAATTAAGTCTTAAGAATGTTATTATATTTTATCTCACTGATTACATGAAAAAGGAAAAAAATGAATAATCACCGTGAAGGACTGTTCATTAAATGTTTTCTCTGATTAGGGAAATTCAAGTGCACTAAGCAACCGGGCTTTGAGTGGCGCAGTTGCTCGAGAGAAATCGGAAGGAGGACACCAAGAACCTGGGGACGGGCCCCTCTGCCAGCCCCCGACCTTCTGCTCGCCCCTCCCCTCCCGGCGGGCGCCTCCTGGCCCGGAGCGCCTCCGGAGAGGGAGGCCGTTGGAATGTACGCGTTGCAGCCCCCCGGCGACTCCTAGGCCAGCTTCAAGGTGCTCACGGGGAACGACGGCATAGTGACCATGGTCACGGGGTTCAAGACCGTCGGCCCGACCAGCTGCGGGTGGTGCACCACCTGAGTCCCCACGGCGGGCTTGCCCACCACCGCCGGCTGGCCGAGGCCCGCTGTCCCGTTCACCTGCTGGTGCGAGAGCGAGTGGGCGATGTGGCCGACCACCGGCTGCGGGTAGAGCGGCATCTGCGGGCCCAGGTGCGTGACGTGGTTGAGGGTGGCCGGGTGCACAGTGATGTGGCTGATGGGCTGCGTGGGGCTCGTCAGCTGGACCGGGCTGGAGGCGGGGGGCGCGCCGGGGGCGAGGTGCTTGGCCGGGGGCCCCTGCAGGACGTGGCTGACAGTCTGGATGACGGAGGCGTGCGTGGCCGCCGTGTGCGCGATCACCGTCGACTGCACCGTGGAGGCCGCCACCAGGTGCGTCTGCGCGGGGACGAGCGGCTGGGGCTGCGCGTGGGGCTGCGGGGTCTTCTGTGCCAGAGGCAGGACCGAGGGGTGGTGCGGGGCGGCGTGGGGCGGGGCGGGCTTCAGGAGCTCAGGGTGGTGCCGATGGGCGAGCTTGGGCAACGAGTTCGCCGGCCGGTCCTCGTCCATGTCCTCGTCCATGTTGTCCTCGCCTTCTGTGGGGGGGAAACGGAGGGATGCTGATGTCCTTTGGGGGCTCGCCTTTCCTCTCCCCTTTTTCTCACTTGCCCCTTTTCTACCCAGGCAACATGCAAGTTCAGTCAAAAGTCACTCTGGCCACATTTCTCCTAACATACGGATTTCTGGCAAGCGCTTTCCCATTACACAACGCATTTGCCCGAACAGAATGCATTTCAACGAATACGGTATTCCTGCCTGCATTTCCCCCCAGAATAGGCATTTTCACAGACTTATTATTCCATAAGTTCATTGCAATGTTCAGAACAGTGTAAACTTTGAAGTATTACTGTGTTTTGGTTTCCTGTTGGTTTGGGGAGTAGGCACGTGTTGGCCAAATTTCAAAAGCTCTTTGGCAGGCAGGCAGGACGGACAGACGGACGGACGGACGGGAGGAAAGGAGGTGGCAGGAAAAGAGGGAGGGGGAAAAGGGATCAGAACAGGAGAGAGACGGTTGTAGAGAGAAAGGGAGAAAGAGAAAAGAGGGTGGCAGAAGGCGTTTGGTCCTTGGGAGCTTCTCTGTACCACGTGGATCCAGCTAATTGCCCCAGGGTATTCAACCAATGAGCTAAAGTTGCCCTAGGAATTGGTTGCCCTGAAAAATACAGATTCAAGGCTAGGAAGCTTCCAAAATTCAGCTCCCATCCGCTCCAGCACACATGAACCAAACCCAGTGACGGAGGAAGCGGTAGCCTGACGTGATTTTTAGTACATGCACCAATTCTGCGTATCGCACTGCAAGCACAAAGGCCATCGCCAAGAAACTCTGCTGTCTGCGCCACCCAAGCATGGCTGGCTTACCTGACGCGGTCGAGGTAGACGCCTGATCGTCTTCGGGCTGAACAGTCTGTCGGATAATCCGGTCGATCTCCAGGATATCCATCCACTGGCTCAATTCGTTCTTCAGCTCCACCAGCCGCTGTTGCGTGGCGATCTTTTCCCGTGCTAGCCGCTCCATCTCGTGCTCATATTCCTTCTCTTTGCGTTTTAAGGTCTGCATAAAGAGCCAAAGAATTATTTTCAAAAGTACTTATATAATTAGGAATAAAACAGCAAAAAGGAGATACCTTCTGGCATGCAGTTACAAAAGGAGAACCAACCGCTGTCGTAACATTTCTCTGAACCAGCCTTCCCCGTCCGTGCGCCTTCCAGACACTTCTGGACTGCAACACCCAGAATTCCCAAGCCATGACCCTGCTGGATGGGGATTCTGGGAGTTGCAGTCCAAATGCCTCTGAAGGCCACCAGGTTGGGGAAGTTGCCCTAGACATTCCCCAAAACTTGACCCACAGCACAGCACAAAACTGCATTTCAGGTCTCCCCTTCTCTTTTTAAAAATCAGTGTAAAAATAGCAAAAACTCTTTGGCTCTGAAGCCCTAAACGGGACACAGGACACTGAAAAAATTATCTCTGATACTCCTTCCCTCCCACTGAATGTTCCCCACATCAACGCTTAGACTCTACGTGCCCCGCGACTTCGGGCTCTTAGGACGCTGTAAAAGGCAATGCAGGACGCTTAGGGCTCTTAGGACGCTTAGGGCTCTTAGGACGCTGTAAAAGGCAATGCAAGCCAAGAGCCCCAAGATCTAAGTGGAGAAAATCTTCACATCGGTTTAAGCATGACATGGGGGTTTCAACAGCCATGAAGATCCTGCTAGGAAAAATGGGGCACCTCTGCAGATGCTGTGCCAGCCCAGTTCCTGGCCGAAAAACAAAAGGATGTGCAACAGACCCCAGCATGATGCTGCCAACCAGGTATGCACCTCAAGCGCCAACCTTTTCGCCACCTTTGAACCCATCCAGAGACGGGGTTCACACTGGGGCCATGCGCAAGTTCAGAAAGGAGTAGCGGTGCAAAGCGATGACATCATGAGCCGTGACTCATTAGCCATGACTCATCCGAGTTTTCACATGGCTGGTCAGTGCACTGCCAAGGATCTACGTATAGACACATTTGCTTGGAATGGCTGTGAGTTGTTTTTTCTAAACTAAAACCTCAGTTTTCCGGGTTTATTGTAACGTTGGCACTTTGTGATCAACAAGTGGGTTTTGGGTTGCAGTTTGGGCACTCGATCTCCAAAGTCCACCATCACTGGCCTCTATGAACCTTTGCCGGCAAGGTGACGGCTCTGCTTTTTAAGATGCTGTCTAGATTGTCCAGAGCTTCCTCCCCGGCAGCAAGCCTCTTTTAAAACCTTGTGGGCAGGGCCTTTACCGACCGTCCCTGCATGCAAAGCAAGCCGTCACGTTTGTTTCTCTTTGTTCTATCCGGAAGCTGCAGCCGCCACTGAAATGTGGTTCTCACCTGAAGTCCACATGGGAAGCAGACACTGTAGGTTTTCCCACTCCTGCCACGCATGTGCTGGAACCCCACATGGGTTATCCCACCCGTATTTCCGTTTTTACAAGTTAACTTTGACACTTAAGGTTCTAAGTTAAATGGCCTGGTTTGTAATGAAGTTCTCAAATGCACTCACCACTAGGAAAGGCTGCTTCTACTCCTGCCAAGGTGAGTGCAGTGAGATCTGGGATCTAAGGGAGATCCGGGTTCTAGTCCCTGTTTGGGGACTTTGGGATCATCACTCTAGCCTACCTTAAAGGGTTGTTGTGCACATCAAATGGATTATGTAAAGTAGCCCTGATTCCTTGCTGCTGCCAGACTGAATCCTGCCTGCCTAAAAGAAACTGAAAAGCCCTCTTTTTAAATGAACAGATAAGATACTCCTTAACAGAAATTATTTACGAAAGAGAGGGAAAAGGTTTACTTCCAAATACTTCTGAAAAATTCTTCAATTAATTTTGGGGGCTCACCATTCCTAAACTGCGTTTTCCCCAGATAAATCAAAGCACAGAAGCTTTTCTTCGGGGTTGCCCTAAATTCCACCCTGTAAAGAGGAATCGGTTTTGGAAACGGAAATCCTTTACTCACGCAGTGAAGCTTGTGGGGGAGGCCTGGCCCCGCCTGGAAAATCAGAGCCAGGACTGCCTTCTCAGCCCTGGAGCGGGGCCACCCCCAACGTTAGCAAGCCACTGGTGCTCTGCTGGTTAAGGCAGCGCAAGGAAATTATCCCCCAGTAAGGAACAAATGCTGCACGCCACCCTTCCGGCTCCAGGTTCTTCCTGCTGCTTCTGGTTTCTAGGATGAGTCACATGGTTTTGGGACTGGCTCCCTTGGGCCAGGCTTAAAACAGGAATATGCAGCACCACTGAAAGGTTGGGACCTGAAGTCCAAAACATCTGGCAGGCCTTGGGTTGGGGACGGCTGTCCTTGAGCACCCAAGTGGTGTCAGAGCCGCAAAGTGAGATGTTTTTGTGCAGTTTGCCCTGCCACACTTCCTGTGACAACTCACACTGAAACAGGGGGACAGTCCCCCCATCCTCCCCCCAGCTTTAAAACTTCTGCACATGTTCTATTTCCACCCCTGCATGGCAAGTCTTTGTGTGCCTCCAATGGACCTGTGCACCCCCCAACACACAATTGTGGCGAGCAACGGGACTCGCCTGAACCCGATCCGCTGGGGCCATGTCAGCAGCCTCGCTGGCTGGCCTCCTTCCAGAAAAGGCCCTGGATGAGCACCATGCATGCCCTCTCTCATGCGACGGGCAGGCAGAGACGGGGCGAGTGAGCGTGGGAGCACCCACGTTTATCCCCTAATGTGCTCGAGCCCCACGGTAAATTTCCATGCGCTTCCCACGGAAGAACACAAGGCAGGACAGAGCAATGGGCTTGTGTGCTCTTCCTTGGACTCCGCTCGGCCTCGGCCTCTTTCCTGAGGTTCTGCCTTAGCAAAACCAGGCTATTAAATGGGCCCCTTTCCCGTCTCTGCACAGGCATAGCTTGGTGCATCACACCAATGGCTGGTTTTCACCCAGAAGGGTGCAAATGTCCTTCTCTGCACCCCGGAGAGACTGCAGAGTAGCAGACAGACCGTTCAAGCTCCTTGCGCCCGGGGCTGGCCCATCCCAACACCAATTAATCTGCCCGCTTCCCACCCGTCCTGGGTAGATAGGGGGCGATCTGTGGATTGTGATGGGCAGCTCAGCAAAGCCGTGAGAAAGACAGAGGCAGCAGAACAGCAAAGCCGTGAGAAAGACAGAGGTCAACAACGAGTCGAAGGAAGGGACTCAAGCTGGCACAGATCCACACGTTCCCCAAACTATTCCTTGTGTCATAAGGAACCAGAGATCAAGAAACAGCTCCCTAATGCATCAGCCAATGTTGATGGCTCCTTACTGCAGGATGCTTCAAAATCTGGGACCCACACCCCTGCAGGTGAAGGAGCGCCCCATAATTTGTGCACCCCGATGTTGGGTTTTGGGTCCCGCAGAGGGGAGATGCCCAGCTCTCATAAACGCCCCCTGGGCCACAAAACTCACTGTGGCAGGTGCTCACTCGCTCCCTTTTGCACAACCCACCTAGCAGGGTTGCTGCGAAGTCAAAAAGGTGGCTTGCGTAGTGGGAAACACACCCTCCACTTCCTTGGGAAAGCACCAAGGTGACAAACAGACGCCCACACCTGTCTTTCAACACACCATCTGAGCGCACCAAAGTGCCTCGAGTGGAGATGGAGAGGCTGGAACACCGGCAGAGGCTGCCTGGAGCCTCAGGACGGAGGCCTTCCCTGGCCAGACTGGATGGGATTTTCCTGAGCTCCTGGAATGTTGCTGCCCGTCAAACGTCAGCCAAGGGGAAGCAACCAGGTGGCTCTCCAGGTGTGGGAGGGGAGTTGGAGTTCTTTTGCTTAGAAAGAAGGGGAGGCAGGACAGAGGTGCCTAAAATGATGCATGGATAAGGAAACATAGAAACATAGAAGCCGAGCAAGTCAGAAGGGGCCTCCCGGGCCATCTAATCTGACCTCCTGCACTAGCCGGCTCCGCTCACGACAAGCCAACCATGTGGACGTCCAGCCTATCCTTGAACACCCTCACCGATGGGGCCTCAACCACCTCCCGTGGAAGCCCATTCCACACCCTTGGGGTCCTGACTGTCAGGAAGTACTTCCTGGCATCCAAATGGGACCTTGGCTCCCTGAGCTTTGCTCCGTTGGAGCGCGTCCTGCCTTCCTCTGCAGGGGAGAACAGGTCTCTACCATCTCCATGTGACATCCCCTCACATACCTGTATGTCGCCAACAGATCCCCTCTGAGTCTCCTCTTCTCCAGGCTGAAGAGACCCAGTTCCCTCAGTCTTGCCTCATACGGCATCCCCTGCAAACCGGCCACCAACCTTGTGGCCCTACGCTGCACTGACTCAATCCTGGCTATATCCTTTCTGTAATGAGGGGCCCAAAACTGAGCACAATACTCCAGTTGCAGGCGCACCAGAGTCGTACAGAGTGGCAGGAATACCTCTCTCGATCTAGAAGCCACACTTCTGGCTATGCAACCAAGGGTGGCGTTCGCCCTCTTGGCCACCGCATCACCCTGCTGGCTCATGTTTAGCCTGCAGTCAACCAGCACCCCGAGGTCCCTTTCACAAGTGCTGCTCTCCAGCCACTTGTCCCCTAACCTGTACTTATGACACCCATTCCTCTGCCCCAAGTGCAAGACCTTGCACTTATCCACATTGAACGCCATCCTGTTGTCTCCTGCCCACTTCCATAGTCTGTCCAGATCCTTTTGGATCTGGAGTACCTGCTCCTCAGTTGTGGCCACTGCTCCAGTTTTAGTGTCGTCTGCGAATTTGATCAGCAGACTGTTCACCCCTTCTTCCATGTCATTAATGAAAAGATTAAACAGGATCGGCCCCAGGACAGAGCCCTGGGGGACCCCGCTTGTCACTGGCCGCCATCCCGACGATTCCCTGCTAATGGTTACCCTCTGCCTTCGGTCAGTCAACCATGCCCTAATCCACCAGACAGTGCTTTGGTGTATCCCAAAAAAGCAGGTTGTTTACCTGTAACTGATGTTCTTCGAGTGGCCATCTGTGCATTCACACATATGGGTTGCTGCGCCTGCGCAGTGCCTCGGCCGGAAGATTAGAAAGCTAACGGT